AAAATTATTACACAGATTACCAAATTAAAAATAAATGTGCCTTTAAAAATCCAATAACAAATGAGATATGTGTCACACTATACATACTCATAAACTCCCTTCAAAGTGTCAGGTTCTTCTCTGCTAGTAAATATCTCCATTGTGTTTTTAGGCAGTTTTCCTCCACCTATTTATTCAAAATGCATTATTCATTTTAATTCTTACAGCCTTGTTTGTAAAAACAAATGAGATAGATTTATTCAGAAAAACATATCAAGGAACATCTATATCAATAAATTCATGTACAATGATATTAAAATAAATATTTGTGTTTAAAGACAATTGACTATTTTTCTATGGGAATTTAATTTCTATGGGAATTAAAGCATGCTCTTGAGAAAACAAAAACTTTTTATGGAGAAAAACACAACAGCAGTATCTGGACAGGCTGCCAAAACTATGCTATATTTAGCATGGAGCAAAAGGAACAAATCCAGCGTCCAGCACACACATGGTTTCCTTACATTTATTCCCCATTTCTACTTAACAAATATCAGATTATAGTTTGACATTTATAGAGCAACTCCTCTCGAAAGAGTTGCCCAGGTGAAAAATCAAGTACACCACTACATACATATAATTTGGCTGATTTGATTTTAAAGATTTTTTTTTTGAAGCAAAGCTTCACTTGTGGACTGCACACAACATATGCGCACCCTTGGTGGCCAGAGAAACATGTCTTTGTGCTTGCTGCCAGGTTTTTGGAAATGAAGTAGTATTTCTCTTGCTCACCGAAGGAGTTTTCTGCAAATACATATACTATCATGAAAACAAATGATTTTTTTGTGGACCCACCCACTACAATCTAAATGTAAGTTTACTAGTTAAATAAATATCCTGATGGAACTGGTGTAGGCTCTCCTTTTTCCTCCCAACTCCTCATTTTCCAAATCTCTCCCAGGAAAGAGCAGAAAGGAAAAGTCACAACAGACACACATAATTTACCAGGTTCCTTCTTGTAAGGGTAATAACATAGCTCAAATGATAATGGTATTTTTAAAATGTGGCATTTGCAGTGCATTGTGAAAACTGAAGATCACACTGCATAAAGAAATCAATATTTTTATAAATCCCACTGTGTTAACACAGGCTCTGATAGTCAAGCGGTTCTTTTCAACAAGGGTTTTTCATGCACATGTAGACCTTCACTGACACCATTATCTCCCTGCTCTCTTCAGATTACTTCTCTCTAGTGCTGTAACATCAATGTTTCTAGGATCTCACAGAGAAATTTTAAGCCTTTTCAGTTTTGCAGATCATTAACGATTTTGCAGTAAAAGTATACACTCTACATCAGATTTTTATCTAATGTGAATGAATAGCCTACATTTTCTTAGACTGTGGACACTCTGGACGTCAAGAGTACTTGACATTGTTTAAGCAGCTTCCCACCTTTGACTGTTTTTTCCTGCCCCTGCACTGCACTCCCACATTTTGCCACCTCCAACACTTACACAAGTTGAAAAGAATCAAAGAAACGGAGCTGACCGAAAAATAGGGGAGAGGGGAGGTACCAGGAAAGGTTCTTGCCAGGAGGATCGATTTCGCAGCTCACCTTCCAGCTGCACAAACAACCCTGCCAGCTGACTGCAGCGAAGGGTCAGGGATGGCAGGGGGGACCAGGAGGTGGGCAGAGGTGGCCGAACCAAGTGGTGCTGCCACCAGGGAAGACCCAGTACCCTTTGCGGATCCCCCCAGCAGCAGTCTGCTTAATTTGATGGGACAATATTTTGGTGATTCCCTATCTTTGATAGATAACATGCTCTGTAATTACTTAGCGGGAGAACAGCACTCAGTTCACTCTTCTCCAAACTGCATGCATTCCAGAAGAGGACATGGCAGACTCCTGCATTTAGAAAGGGCTGTTTTTACAGTCATTCTTTAGAAATGACCTTACTTTAAAAAGGACACAAATATATATAAATACTACTGGTAAAAATTGAGCCATGTAATATTTACATCATTCAGTCACTGAATGTCACTGACATTTCTTTCCTCAACCAGCTGCTAGTACAGTTCCCCCCTGCAAAAAAAAGCTGTAATATCTGTACACAAAGCCCAAGTACTATGATTTATAGTATGTGTGACTTTTAAGAAGTCACCAACTACCAACGAAGTCATTCGGTTAACCATCTTTTTTTTGTTGTTGATCTATTTATTTACTACTTGCAGGCTGGAGCAAACAGCCATTTCATTCTAGCAATTCTCTAGACATTTGTATAAATTCAGAAAGAAGCTGTTAATTATTAATTAGAACAACACATACATGCTCAATATGATACGTTTATATCATTTGCCTGGTAATACTGAAGACCACTCAGAACTGTAACTTTCAATGAGTAGAAAAGAATTGTATTATCCCAATCATCACTTCTTATCTAGCTTAGGAAGGATGATAAATTCGATGATGTAACAGGACCTTATTAGTCTATCTTGGGACAGGGGTCTACCTGTTTCAGAACTGATAGTTTGCATACCCAAACATATTACAACCAAAACAGAAAACATAATGCATGGTGAAAAGACATGACAGAATGAACAATGAGGCACTCTGCAGTCCTAAGGAACAGCAGCACTAAGGAATATGAAGAAGTCACAGCCAGTCTATGATTGATGAGTGATGCATTATGAGATACAATCTAAGACACCAATTTTCTTTCAGCAAACGGATTTATTGACATAATTGATTATAACCATATACAGCATCTATGCATCTCCCATTGGAAGAATATCCAGTGATAGAGCTAATGTTAGTGTGATACACAGCTTTACTCGATAATCCCCACTGCATTTCTAACAACAAACAGTGGGGTATTCCACAGTCAGTCGTAAATGGCCAAAAGAACCCAGGGGTCCAAAAGAACAGAAATTTAAGATTCTTAACAAAAAATAAAACCTGATCCTGGATTCCTTCAGTTTTAATTCTGTTCAACATTGTGTCTATAAAAGTGAAGAATTTTAATCTATACACTGACAACTGAATTTGGCCCCTGATATTCATGAAAACTGCTGCCTGTCAAAAATAAATCCCAAAGGACATTTTGCTACTGACTCAAGAATTTAAGATTTAAATCTTAATTTTTTTTCCTCCATTTAAAAGGCACAGAATAAGACAAACAATCGCTACACTCTCCTTTCCTCCCACTTGAATTTAAAGATTGAACAAAATTCCCTCAGAACATAAAGTCTTGTTCTCTCCATTCAGTCACGAAACTCCAATTGAAGGTACCAGTTACTATGGTGTCTTTTGTAAACGCTTGTTCAACTGAAAAAAAAAGAAGAGAAAAAAAAAGAAGAAAAAAAAAGAAGAAAAGAAGAGAAAAAAACAAATTGCCTTCTTGCAACTATGGTAATAAACAACTTGTAGTCACGAACACCTCAGGTCAGCGATGAATGCAGAATATTGAGATGAATGTCTCCATAGTCCTCTAACACTTCCTTCAAGCCATTCAGTTCCACAAGAGTTCATCTGAGGTTGCACATTAAATTCAAAGGAGCAAAAGTAGTATCAATGGTCTTAACAATTTACCAAACTCCATCTAAAACATTCGCATTTCAAGTGTAACCACAGTTTGGACCTTTTTTAATTAGCTCCCTTCTAGACCACACAGAGAGAATTATTAATGTAAACTAAGCCACCATATTTCATAGTAACAGAACCACATTCTGTAAATATTTATGAAAGTAAAAGTCTGAGAAAGTAGAGAGCAACTGATCAGAAAATGATTAGCATTGCTCTAAAACCAAAAACAAAGTTCAAATTAAAAAAAACCAACACAACAAAACAAAACAAACCAACTCAAACATTGTATACTACTGTGTAAGCATTTAACTTTAGCATTACTCACTCAGCTACACAAAACATGGAATCTAGATTAATACACAAAAATGTTTTATTTCACAGTGAGGTACATAAAGCTTCTAACTTTAGTAGGCTAAGGCTAAGAGAGAATTGCCTGTTAGGAATAAAGACCGTTTCACATTCCTGAAATATTCTCATCTATTATTGTTTCTTAAGAAAGGCACCAATATTATTTATCCATCAACAGTTCGCCTCTGCATCCACCCATTTAGAAACGAAGATGGATTATGTGAGGGTCAGTGACCTACCCGACCATCACGCACCCAGACAACTCCAGCACACATTACTGTGTACAAGTACCAAGCAGTATTTATTCAAAAACCATTTAAAAATAGCTCATTTGTAAACATATTACAAAACTCTTGTTAGTTTCTCCTAGTGGTGTCAGTAATATATTCCTGTAAAACCAACCAGCTGCATTATTGTTTTCCGTTTACGAAGAAAGCATGAAAACACACTCACGCACATGAAATCGCCTCACATTCGTTTTGAGTTAAAACGGTACAACCTTCAAACTGCCCAGCACAAGATGTACATTTCCAGCTCTCCAGCCGACCCGCTGGTTACCCACAGTTCAACTGCCACAGTAACAGGTGACCCTCTCGGGCCAAATTTTTGACTGGGAAGGGCTGGTGCCTTGGAAAGGTCTGTTCCAAGCGCGGGGCCGGGCCATCAGCCATTGTTCCCAACTGCAGTCCGAGAAAACCACCTGAGAAATTGCACACTGAAATTTTGGGCTCCCATTTCGTGCAAGGGAGGCGCCAGCTGCTGTTCGCACTCGCTCCCGCCATCTTGGCTCTCCTCATGGCAAGGAATGGCTATTGCCACAGTCAGGCCTTTTGCTCGGGTTGAGTGATGATTTCTGTGAAAGCAGTGACCTCCAGCAGAGGTGACCGAAGAAGGTGGCACTTAGGTGGCATCGGCCCCGGCCTGCCATAGGGGCGGCTGAAGGCAAGGACCGCGCCGTGAGTCTCCCTTTGGAGGCCGCGACCCGGCCGGGCCTCGTGCCAGCCCCTCAGGGACGAGCGGCCGCCTCCCCTCGCCGACTACAGCTCCCAGCAGCCCTCGCCGCACGGCGGCGCCCG